GTACTAGAATATTTTCGAAGAAATGTGCCTTTGAAACAAAGCAAATGATAGCACTATTTTCCCAGAGGGGAATTTATAAGACACAAGCCTCATATAGAGAACACTTACGTTATTTTTAATGAATTTAGCACGTTGCGCAAACTTCAGAGTGCTCAGAGTCTCCAACGAACAGCTGCAGCAATCAAGAATTGTAAAATTAGTCATCAACATGTACCGTTTCAAGACAGAAATATGAGTGCACCAAATTCACTAACCAGTTGGATGGACTGATATTTGCAATTATAATTGTCTTTGAATTTCCTCCAAGTGAATCCTGAAATATAGAAAACAAGATTCTTTTTGTGAGAATTCATTCATCAAAAGCAATAGAAAAATCTGTCAAGGAGTACTTGCACAGGATGAAGCATAGTTTTTCCTCAACTTGCAGAGACTAAATAATAGTTTTAACTGCTGGATTTTTTTCCTGGTCACACCAAGTTTAAGTTAACACCCTTTCTAATCAATTCCAAATTTAATGGTAATAAGCCTTGAACTCTAGCACATAAAGTAAATGTGCATGGACACAGTTGAATGCACAAAGATATGATGCATCACCCCGACAAGTTCCATTTTAACAAAAATCTGCAACTTGACAAAATGGAAGCACAAAAGTCTGGAGACTGGAACCTCAAATTCTCAGAGAGGTTTGTGCAGTAAACTAGACGATACCATGTCCTAATGATTTGGTAAATTTCTCTCAAAGTCCACTCCTTTAAAATAAGACATTGTATTGTGAGGAAAGCATGTATCTGGACTTTACATAGTCATATAAGTAAATTAGATTTTAAACATTGTCATACCATAATGGGAGATCAACTCATAGATAAGTTCGTATCGATTGAGTCTCTCAAAAGTCAACTGACCTGAAGCAAAAATGTAAGTTTTGAATCTCGGTAAGGGACATGGAGTGACTTCCCATTGGATATGCTCACAAGATTCATGATCACAAGTCTGCAGAACAGAATTATCATAGAAAGTAAGATGCCATTTATATTAGAATGGCCTGAATACATAGATATGATCAAGAAAATCTTAAGATGTATTAAATGAGGATATGGTACTACCCACCCCAAGGTTGAAAGAGATCTGTTGATATTTGTGGCTTCCTTAAGACGTTCGCCCTCAGCACCAGAACTTTTTTGCCTGTGAGAAAATTATAACATAGCCTCACATTCACATAACTTTGTGAAAAAGTATCAACTCTTAATGGAAAAGCGTCATCGTTCTCAAGTACCTTTCTGACCCTGCTAGATCAACAAGATTGAGCCGAGCAAATCTGTGGTGAGTAACACCTTGGGACTCCCACTAAAATTGAAGGCTCAATTAGAACACATGACTTAGTACATGACCAAGAGTATGAATTGGAACATCCGAAACACTGTCTTAAGAAGGAAACTGTCTAGTTGATAGTGGAGGCAAAAAGAGAAAGCAAAGAAAACACTAACCTTGCTTTCAATCTCACATGTAAATACACTATGAGAACGACTGCTTGCACGGTTCATGTTGGTCGCAGCAACCTTTCTATTGGCAGCCCCCTGCAGAAGGAGTACAGATTAAAGTACATCAAACAACCTTTGATGTGGTCTTTAATACACTTCCCCCTCTATCCAGTTGAAAAGAATGCCTAAAATCACCACAGGTCATCTCTAAAAATATAGTATTGCTTGGTAGGAGTTGAAACTTCCAAGAATCACCCATCACGATTAGCTCCAACTTCCCCAACATTAAAGCATGTTTCCCAGATAAATTGATTCAAAAGGTCTTAGTTTATCAATCGAGTTGAACTTGAGCCACACAAAAGATAAGTCCTTAAAAATATTTCTAAGTAGTGACTAACAATAAAAGAACTAAGTAATGACATGGCACAAAGGTTCCTTCCACTGGGCAGTGGAAACATTGAACTACAGTGGCAGCTCACGTACTTGAATCAGCTGAAGTATCACTTCCCGTGCACTCGTAACTTCTATCTCCTTTAGATTCTCGACATGAACCCCTTTCTTGATGTCTTCCCTTATCTGTAAAATTGCAGGTATTGACATTTAGCTTCACAAAGCGCAAATAAAGTACCTCCAATAATATTGGAATTCTTTAGTCGTTGCAGGGAAAAGTTTGGTGACGCAAATGAAAAGCCTGAAACTAATCCACACCTGTAAATTGTTGGAAGAAGGATCCAGAAGATCTAGGATCTGTTCATTGTATATTTCCAAGAAAGAACATTTACAAGTAAATCGTAATTTCTCCTCTTTGCGAGCCTCTTTTTCCTGTCACAAGAGAGGGAATAACTTTCATCGGATATAAGTAAAATGTCACATGATGTTACTGCGTAGGTTTATGAGAATAACCCTCTCAAACATAGAAAGAGAAGAAAGCAACCCCATTGACTACTCTGCATTGATTCTAAAAATCGCGAGAAATATTGTGAGATCTTGATCATAATACTATTAATCAACAACTCCCAAACAAGTTTTTTTGTTGTTTTCTTCTCGGCCAATTAAATGGTTTTCCTTTTTGAAAATGAACATCATGCAATGTGTGATACCAGCGAAGGGCACGAACCTTTTGAATCCGTGAAAATAAATATTCAAAGACTCGGGGTGTCATCCCACAATTAACACTATGTCTACGAGTTCCTCCTTCGATGTCTCCAAGCATTGTGTGAGTCTTCCCACTCCCAGTCTACACGCAGAAAAGCAAAGGTATTTGGTACCATAAACACAAGCAAACAAACTAGTGAAAAGACTGGCCAATCGAATCCTCAAAATTGCAATGGTGGATGTTAAGTCCAAGAAAACCATCAATAATTGAAAGACCCAAAAACATCCGGGTCACAACGAAGGGTATTGTTGTCGTATGATACTTACTTGACCATACGCAAACATGCAACTGTTGTATCCTCCCACGCAATTTTCCACCATAGGTACTCCAGCCACTTTGAATAACTTCTCCTGTGACATTACTGAATTAACTTAGGGCATCGCAGGATAGACATTCAAAAAAAGGCATGGAAATTCCGTTGAATTTACAAAAGATACGGAAAAAGAAACTTTTTACCTGGCTAACATTCTCGTCTGCGACCAGATCAAAAGTATAACGCGACTCAGGATGCCCGGTCCAGGTAACAGTTTGGCAGCTCTCTTGCCTAACGCACTTGCTGTAGCCTTGCAGCGATATCTCGCTGCTACTGAGAGGCCGAATTCTGATGATTACCTATAAACCAGCACGCATAAAGTCAGTCATTTCTTTCTCTTTTATAGTAGAGAGCATCCAATTTCAAAGCACAATTCGAAGTATTCAAGCAAGCGCTGCTGTGCCTAACTTAGTGTAGCTCACAGCTACACAAATCGACCAATCTAGGCTAGAAAATCGATACCTGGAAAAGCGCAAGTAAAATCAGATCGACACAAACCTGGACATTGTGGTCTTTCCAAAATGAAGGATCCTCGCGGAGCTCCAACCCCCGGGACGGCCCGCCAACTCCGCCGTCGTCCGAATCTCCACCGCTCAGGATCGCCGGCGCCTGAGAATGCGCGAGATTTTCCCCGGACGCGGGCTTCGCCGCGAGGTCGGAAGGCGCGGGATCCGAAGAGCGGTCGTGAAACCCGAACCGGCTCTTGGTGGCGCTAGCCGTGTCCGAAACGATCACCATCGTCGGCGGACGAGTCGCGACGGAACGACGCGGAGGAGGGAGGAGGAAGTTGAGAGTTTTAGGGTTCGTCGGGAGGGATTTTTGAGAGGCGAAATCAGCGCGGGGGAAGAGATAGTCGGAGAGCAGAGGGTGAGGGAAGAAGAAGAAGGAAGTGAAGGAGAGAGAGTTTAAAGCGTCGTCGCGAGGGAGGGGATGTCAGAGAGAAAATGGGGGAAATCTCCTGCGCGAGAGATCGGAGGGTGGAGAGTGATTGGAGTGGACGGTGGGGATCGAGTCGTGGATTTGAATTCAGCGGACCGTTTGGGCTTCTCGGGGTTTTGAAAAAAAGGTGAATTTGGATGGCATGGGAAATTACTGTTTCGTCCCTGAGGCAAGCGATCAAACGCACCGCATTTGTGCTCTTGAGGACCTCACCTTGGTGCAGAGGAGCACGAGCATGCATAAGCATCGTATACCCACGGCAATTGCGATGGATACTTTTCGATTTTAGGTTCCGTTTGTTTCGCGAAAAATGAATGATTCAGAGAATAATTTTTTAAAATCGACTGTTTGTATAGCTTGAAATGATTAGTCCATGAAAAATAAAAAATATTTCATTATCGATAATGTCTAAAATTTTCGTAGACGGTGAAAATACTTTTCGTTCATTCATTTTTTTAAGCGATCATTTTTTGAGAAAATATTTTTCAAATCATTCGTTTTTTGCGAAACGAATGCAGAGTCGGCAATTTGTGTTTGCATGTCATGGCTATACTGTCAATTTGTTTTGAGATTTTGATTTATGTTAACACGTCGAAAAATTCGTTATTAATTTAAAATGAGTCTAATCACGTGGGCGGTTTATGGAGAAAAGTTAAGGTACCGAGTCACTGTTGGCTTGATCCAAGTCTCATGTAGTGAAGTCTCACAGAGTTAGTACGGTACACATACCGATAAAACAACACAAAATAACGCTAGTTGACTGAAACGATTCCAAAACTAGTTTAGTTTGTTGTTTAACCCGGGAAAAAAGTTGATAAATTGCTCTAATTGACGCTAGTAAATTCATATAATAATTAATAAATTCAAAAACCGCTAATTTGTATAAATAGAAGAGTTAGTATAAACTAATTTTCAAACTGTCAAAAAAGTTAGTAATTTCATAAAAATATCCATAAGTTATCAATAAATTACCTAAAAAACAAAGTACCACCGATTCTCTTTTATCAACAGTTTTTTTTTTGGACAATTATCGACATTTATTTAAATTTACCGGCACGGATAACACAACAACTAACAAAGAGACACACCAAAAAACAAAAAACACCAAATCACATATGTAAGAAGAGATGATATTTGGGTAAATATACATCAAATGGGTGCATCAGGTGGAGTTGTCGTCGATGAAGCGCTTGATGATGAGCATCAGGCGTTTCGAATCCTGCGAGTCGGGATCGATGGTGAAGAACCCGTGTTGCAGCCCTTGGAACTCCACGTACTCCACCTTCTTTCCCCATGCCTTGAGCTTCGCCGCGTACTCCTCGGCCCTATCTTTCAGGAGGTCGGCGCCGCCGGCCACCACGAGGATCGGGTCCAGGTCGAGGGGCTCGAGGTCGAGACTCGACGGCCCGAAGGGGTTCACCAGCGGGTGGTCGGTTGTGTCTCCGGCCGGTATCGATAACCTCCAAAACCTGGCCAAGCCCAAGATCATAAACACTCGCATATGACGTGACGATATGTGTAAATCGGCACTCAAATGTAAACGTCATTTTCAGAATGCTTCCAAGCTCGCATCTATGGAAACAGCTATAATCACTTAGACCCAGAAAAGAAAAATACTGATCGAACGATTATCGTTGTTCTTTTGTACCTGTCAATGAGTTCCAGATTGAGGAAAGCATCTTTAGGACCCTCGGCCTCCGACTTGGACCACACAGTTCCCCCAAAGAACGGCGCCAAAAGCACATAACCCCTCACCACAACCGGAGCCAGCTCCGGAGCTCCGGCTCTCAGCCGGACCGCCAGGTTATGAGCCATGTTCCCGCCGGCCGAGTCGCCCGATACGAACACCCTCCCGAAGTCGGCCACGTCGGCCAGCCACGCGTCGCTCGCCTCCAGAGCCTGAGCCTGGAGCCACTTCACGGCCGTGTAGCCGTCCTCGACGGCGGCCGGGAGCCGGTTCTCTGGGGCCAGCCGGTAGTCGGGGGCCACGACCACGGCGTGGAGCTCGGAGGCGAGCTTGAAGCAGTAGTTCTGGCAGTTGGGCCAGGTGCGGGAGCCGATGCAGAAGCCGCCGCCGTGGATGTAGTAGAAGATCGGGAGCTTGGCGGACGAGGCCGAGGCGGAGGCCGGCTTGTAGAGGCGGAGGTGGATGTCGTGGGCCGGGTCGAAGAGGACGTCCTTCCAGAGGACGGAGCCGTCGTCCCGGACGGGGACGTTGAAGCTCGGCTTGGAGGAGCGAACGATGGAGCCGTCGCTGTAGACTCGGAGGACACCGCGGCATTCGTCGACCTCGTAGGGAGCGGCAGTGTCGGTATTCGAAGCGGTGGTTCCCGCCATCTCTCCCTCTCTCTCTCTCTCTCTCTCTCTCTCTCTCTAGAGTGTTGTGTGCATGAGGAGTGTGTGCGTGTGTATGTGTTGAGCGTGGAGGTTATGAAGGAGAGAAGAGGGGAGAGAGAGAGCGAAAGAGAACAAGGGAAGAGGTCGAGAGAAGCAGCGCATTCGGTTGATGCTTGGAAGTATGTGAAGGTGGCATTTAGCTCCTTGTCTTTTTGCTTTTGCATGAGTCGATTTGTCAAAATTGGCACGGAAGGAAATTGAAGTAGAATTGGATTTGGGTTCTTTTTCTTTCTTTTTGGGTTACAAAAAGAAAAGAGCTTCACTTTTCATTTTGGCAACTACCTTTTTGTGACGTGTTGTTTTCTATCTTTAACTCAACCATCCTATTAATTATTTAGTACACTCGTTGGACCGCACTTACAATGAATGTTACCTGTTCCATTTTCTAAGATGACGTGTCCGGAGATCTCATTTGATTCGAGAATTAGTGATCAAGCCGGCCGTTTCTTCTCTGATCCTGATGTGCTGCAGACTCGAAAGAAGTGATGGAAAAGCCCTTTGAGACCCTTTCAATTCCAGGCAAGAGTCATCTCTAGGTGTCGGACTGTGATTTGTTGGGCGACGACCCGTCACGGACCGAGTGACCTAAGCTGTTGGATCTAATGAATCTCGCGAGAGGCTCGCATATCTAATGGTTCAAATCACTTGAATACCAACGGACTCAATCTAGGCAAGAACTCGCCACTAAATCAACACTTTTGAGAAGTCTTTGCCCAAATCATCAATGTAGCAGGCGAAACAAGGTGCGGATATTCCCTCTTGCTTTTGGGGCCAACAAAGTCTAGAGATTTCAACGAGGGCGCCTTTCTTGCGAAAATCCAAAATGATTCCTCCACGCCAAAAATAGGCAGAGGAGACTTAAAATTAGAGTCCATCAATGTAAATACAGCATCTTTCAAATTTCCTTTACAAATCAAGAAAGATGCTAAAGAGTACCAAAAAACCACTACAGAATCCCCAACTTTTCTAGACATAGCTCAAGTAAACAAAAATCGAAGAAGCAGATGGAGCAAAAGATAAAGACTAAGGCAACCTACTATACCATGTATACAATAACCAGTCCAAAATCTTTCATTTATATACCGTTAAAATACACTACCAGTGACATCCCACCAGGGATCGCCCAAGACTCCATCTCAAGAAATGGAACCGGTATGTGCGCTCAGAGAATGTAATTTGCTTCAGGCTAAACTTCTCCATCCACACTAGGAACAAACGAGCAACAAAAACATCGGATCAACTGAAATCATCTTGACCATAACCACCTTGCTGATTTTTCCACAAATAAATGGTGCATCTTGTATTGAGCTCATCAATACAGTTGAAGAAGATCCATCCAATGGATTTTAATTATATATTTTCACTGGCTTCTCAAAAGTGTGGCGATTCTGCAATACGCAAAACAGCGTCAGAATTAGTTATACTCAGCTATACTAGGAGGATGTCGTGATTACACACAAGTAGCAGGTGGCATTTATAGAAATAAATATTCGGCCAGTATAAACAGACTATGGACAGATATGCCACAATAGCACCCCATTCACCTGATTAGCTGCATAAGCTCTTTTAGGAGCAGTGTCAGAGTGCTCCAATCCGAGATATTGCTCCCAAGCACCATAAACATCTCGTCTCTATGGCAGACAATGAAAGTCAGTACACATTATCCACAACATTGATTTTCAATGAAAAGGTGCAATAATAGAGAAATTTACTACTTGAGTTCAGACCTGAAAACGATTTGACACTATATCATGATCCTGAAGGTACTCTGGACGACCTAATGAGAGGAATGCAAACCTCCACTGCAGAAATCAAGACAATAAAATCAGATGTAATGATATGTAATTGATGTACATGATGCATCATGTTATAGACAATTACACACAAAATTAGCATGCATATGACATCTATTAACAAGCAATATTGACTAGCACCATCTGAAATAGAAAATCTCTTAAATGGAACTCAACAAACCTTAGCAAACTCCTCATCTGGAACTTGCAATTTCTTCTGTACTCGTACTTTTATTTCAGCCAACGCCTCACCTTCATGTATTACTAAGAAAAAGGGTTCTCCAAAATTCTGGACTTGCTGTTTAAAAGTAAGAAAAGGAAAACGAGAAACAACACCAAGATGAAAACCTTTAGAAAACCAGAAGTTCTAAATGCAATATCATCTACCAATGCCCAGGCACCAATTGACTATGTACTCAAGTAATTACCATCTGGTTCTGAGCAGTGTCTTTTGTGAAATGGTATACATGGATTAGACGATCAGTTGGACCAAGATTTTTCTCTTCTTCCGGAATCTACAATATTAGAACAGGAAAAGAAAATAATATACATAAATCTATCTAAAGAAATAGAACCAAACCAAAGAGTTAATGCTTTGTCTTATTGCACTCAATCCTAAAATCCACGTTCGAACCAAAACAAGAAAAGCGTTACAGCTAATCATCAAAACGATAACATTTTACCCCTAAATGCTATCCTCACCAAGCTTGATGAAGCATAATCAAAAGGATATTAGAAACTACAAACAAAGATACTGCTCACCACAATGCATCAAATCAGACAATAGCCTAGAACGCCATGCAATATCCCCATACCGTAGCTTCATTTCATTTTAAGATTTCCAAAAAATGCGGACACATAAAGGATACATGTTAAGATTTAACATATAGAGAGACACTGTTTAGGACTTCAAAAAATGCAATAATTTCACAATTACAAGACACTAAAACAAGAAAATATACCTAATTACACTTACAATATAGCTTATAAAAATTTCTTGAAGAGAACTGATTAACCTTTTTTGTAAAGGAAAGCAATAATTAACTGCTTACCAGATCTCAGACCCCCTAGAAAGGTTATATCTCTAGATTTACATTTACAATACAAGGTCAAATACCATGCATACAATTGCAAACCAGGGACCCACCTCTTCTGCACGTAATGTCCAGTACTGATCATTTATGTTCTCGATTTTCTCGCTGAGGGGAAAGATCTGCATATATGAGACAGGAATTTAGTGAGACCCCTTAGTTATTTCAAAGGCGAGAGACTAAAGAGGGGAGACAACTGGGAGATGTTTGGAAAATGCAAGCTGGTAGCCAAGTATAATATTCACATAAATGGGATAACAGAAGAGGTAGACTTTCTATGGGATTGATAAGCCTCAAGCATTAATGCCCCAACTACCAGCCAAATTATGCTAAAGTCAATGTTACAACATCAGGAAAATTTAATGACATCATGCGCATCTGCAGAAATTAAAAATTATTGACAAAAAACTCGCATATTTTCGCACAATCCCCTAATTTCCACACAGTAGCACACATAGAAAGACGTATTAGTGTCGATACCATCAGCAACAGCATCCAATCAAGATATTCCTGCAGAAAACAAGCAAACCTTGTAGATCTTGTGGTAGAAAACTTCAAGCAACCTAAGTTCTGCATTAGCATCGGACAACTCGACCTGGTGTAGCAACAGAAAAGGTGAGAGAAAAAAAAACAGAAAAGAAAAATAGGCACACAAGCCAGTAGATATTTCCTAAAGCAAAAAATTAGTACACACTTAGTTACCATTTACCACAAGCATATGTGCAATTGAAGTTAAGGTAAGAAAGGCAAGAAATAGTACCAAGACACCCAAAATTACCTTTGTCTTGAGATCACTGAGCACATCTCCAACAGTACTCTGCTTAGGAAGTCTGATCGTATGGATGACCACCTACAAGATACAGAAGCAGAAACAACATAAATCAGCAGCGAACCTACCCACAGTGACAAGCATCGATCAGATACTTACTTCATCCTTAGTAGCATGATGAAATGCTACTTTTAAAGTTTTTAAACCTTGTAGTTCTGGAAGAGGGATATCTAGCACTTCATAGTACAATATATCCGAGCTCTGCACGAATGTGGAAGTGGAAGACAACATTTCAGCTCCTAAAATTTCAATCCATCAGAAGTCTCCAATGGATAATATTACTCACCTGGTTATAGTGAACCAACATATCAGACAAATGATCCACTCCACGATACTTTATAGGATGGGGCTTGGGTTGCTGAGAGTAACAGTTGTGAGATGTGAGCCTGATCTTTGATGGATCATCCAAACCAAGCTGCTGAGCAACTCTTTCCACAACATCATCATAGGTATACAGCTTAGACCTTGAATACAGAATTGCATATCAATCATTTTGATTTTATTAGCAACATATGTGCAAGCAATGCAGAAAGGCTACAAAAGAACTGTGTCCATACTCACATCTCCAAAGAGAAATCATCCTCCTTGGGTTTTTCAAGAGAACGGAAGTGGACAATCTACAATACATGAAGTTGCAAGGGTATTAATCCATGCCTATGGAGAGATCAATATCATGAACGAACAACCCCGGGATACATACTTGACGATTGTGCACATATTCCAGAAAGGAAGGGACATCTGGATAGGAAAATTGTTCACCATTTTCAGTTGGAAGACATTTCTGGAAGCATAGGATATCTCCATCTTCAAGCTGCACGCAATTCTAGAATTTAATTTGGAGACTTACTCAGGCAACCCTCCATTAAAAGGCATTCATCTGTACCTGGCTAGCTCGAAATGTCACTTTTTTGTCAACGGGTTCACACATGACATTAGGCTCGAATTTTATTTCCTGAGCAAGAAAGCACAAAAAAGATACTCCAATCATATCGCACATCCATAGACAATAGTGCTTGTCAACAAAATACAGAGTCCCCATCAAACACGTCACCATAATTAGGATGTCAAGTGTCAACACAAGCCTTAAAATTTGATAGAACGCCCAGGCTTTCTCATTAATATGATTAGCTGAATAAGCATGAATTACGTAAATGATGCAAATACATCGATGAAAACAAACCTCGTAAAGTTCAATTTCATGGTCAGGAGAGTAACCAGCCATTTCATTTAACTTGGTCAAGATTTCTGCAGGTTTACCAGTACCCTTCACGAAAAGCCTTCCAA